ATTGGGACCTGAATGCTTGAAATGATCCAAAAGCTTTACCACACACTTTTTATCTTCTGGGTCTCCATCTGCAATCTGTTGTAAAATGGTTATCTCATCCATGGCTGCCTCTGTGTAATGCTGAGCGCTCTTTTGAACTTTAAGAGCCACGTATCTCTGCAAATATCAAAACAGAAGAACACTCATAAATGATGTTAAAAAAATAATAATAATTAAACCAGTAGCGAGGCCTACAATGCTATACGAGGAAGACACCCAGTTTAGTCTCTCCGCAGGAAGAAGTTGGATAAAAGTTTGCAAAATAACAGCCCCTTGCGTTCGATATTTCAGACAAATTAGTTCAGCAAGCCTCAGAGGGCGTAAGTTATAGCTTCTCTCCCATCGTTATCACGCCTTAACCGATGCAACAGTAAATGTATATTCTATACATTCTATCACCAAAAACACAGCAGACTTCGAAGTTCAAACAGGGATTTTGGGGCAAAAGGACTGATGATCAATAAATTTCAACAAAAAATTCTTGCAATAAAAGAATTAATTTTCACAGCCATGAAGCAAGAAACAAAAGAAAAAAAGAATAAAAGAGGGATTCAAGGCCCCAAGACAGAAAACTGCATATTGAAAAGAAAAAGAATTGTACAGAAAGTTGGATGTCCCAGGCGAGCCAGACGGTGGAGAAATGCCCCCAACCGAGCTTGCTCTGAACAACATAGCGACCATTCTTGAAGGCATCGCCGACTCGCACAGCGTGGTAGCCTCCCCGTCGATAGTCCTCGGTGCCTTCATCCTCTGAAGTGAAATCGCTGCTCTCAGTCCGATCCTCTTCGTGATTGTCTCCCATTGGATAAAACCTAAACGATTCGACTCGATCCCCTGCCGTTCCCGACGATCAGAAGAAGAGCGTCCAGTGAAATAACTCTACTGGATTACATAAAAGGGTTGAACTTTTAGGCTACAGAGGGGGGAAGGCGACACAAAATAAGATCTCCAACAGTGGGCAGATATAAATTAATCAGCTTTCGGTGTAGAGAGACTTGTAAATTATATTACGTGCGTGGGCTGCAAACGGTATTGATGTCACTCTTCGAAGCTCCTCAGAAAGAGAGAAGCGAGAGCACAGAGGAACGGATGTGGTCGGAGACTCTGAACTGCTTTTTACAGGTCACTTGACTTCCTTCCCATCACTGAAGCCCCCTCTTCATCCTCGCAGTCATAATTCCCTGGCCCCTTCGGAACATCCATGCTTTTTCTTCTTAAGGTTTGATTCGTGAAATAAAAATATTTAATTTAATATGTTAGATAAAAAATGATTTTTTTTTCTTTGTTTGATTGATAAGAGCAAACATTCATTATTTAAAAAAAAAATCTTATGTGAATAGAAGTATTGAATTAATAATTTTGTGAGATTCTGTTGCTTGTATATTTATGTTTATACTCTTAATAAATCGAGATATTGTTCTTATTCTGGTTCGTAAGAAGAACATTAGTAGTTGGGGGAAAAAAAAAGAAGAAGAACGTGTGTAATTCAAAGTCATTGGAAACTTAAGGGAGCAATAAACAAAAGGATTATTAAAAAAAAATGCCAACCCATGTCGTCCATTTTTCACTCTTGGTATTAATCTTGATCTTGCCCACCTCTTCCTCATATCTAATTCGCTTACTTCGTTCATCTGTTTTGAGAATTTTATTTATCATTTTAATTTAACTACGTTTTCGTTGACATAACATTAATTTTAAAGTGAATTGCTTTATGGTTGGTAGTTTATTGCTTGTCAAATTAATGTTTTCGTCAAGAAGAATATAATTTTTAGTTCTGGCAGAAAAAAAATAATTTTTAGTTATTAAACTTTTTAAAAACTAACAGTTCAATTCCATAACTTTTACCTGAAAGTAACTCAGTTTAAAAATTGGGTTATTTTGAGTAAAAAGTCTGTAAAGATTTCTTTGTTGTGAGTCAAGAAATTACAGGATGAATGTTTTGAGATAACGTATAATAGTTGAATTATTAACTTAAAAAATCAGAAATCCATTGAATGAGGTTTAAATGATTTGTGTTAAACCGTCAGTTCATATTTGGCCCGATCTTTGTTTTTGGGGGGGTGGGGGTTATTTTGTGATCAAGTAAATCAAAGTTGTACTCTCTCCCCATTTGTTGTACCCCATGTCACCGCCTCCACTATGATTTTAGTAGGTAGATCAATCCAACGGTCCATTTAATTTTTAATACCCGTAGAAGAGGAAAATCCAACCTTGTTATCAAAATGAAATTAATTTAAGAAGTACAATTTTATAGTTTAATTTACACTGCAAAATAAATTTTATATTTAGAACTGGATCAACATATAATCATAATTCAGATCAATCAATGAGTGAACAGTAAAAGAGAGGCAAAAGTGGGAGGTTGTTAAATTTAGATTCCGTATTATATTAACAATCATCTCAATTTGTTTTCATCTGCACGTGTGGTGGTTGAATTCCTGCTAACGGTTTATTGACACTAGAAAAAATAAATTATTTTAATTTGATTTTTAAAAGTCAGATTGAATAAAAATTAGATTGACTAATGCGATTTATATTTAGATTGACTTTTATATGTATTCAGCTAAAAAAAATTGTTTATAAAGTAAAAAAGTTATTTAATTATGATTGAATAAGTAAATTTAGTTTGTAGAATGATCAAAATAAGTATAAATTTTATTAAATAAAAAAATGATTAAAAACATGACTTTACAGAATATTATAATTTTAAATTATTATAATATGAAAAAGTTATATTTAATGAATAAAATATATTTAAATTAGAAATATAGTAATGTGAAATTTTTTTAATCAAAATAATATTACACAATTAATTAGATGATATACTCTGTATAATTTATATAAATATTAAATAAAAATAATATTAAAAATATTATAAAAACTGTTACAATGATTTTTGTTTAAAAGAATATTACAAAAAGAACATATAGAGAGAAGTATAAAAATAATATAAACATAAGGATAAAAATCTCTTTTAATTTCAAAAAGCTATTTTTGCATAAGTTATAAATAAGTTATAGGTGTTCTTAGGTGTTTTTACAGCTAGGCTTAAAAAAACAGCTTTTCCCCTGTAGATCATATTAGTTAAAAGTTATTACAAACAACTCTCAAATTTATTAACTAACGTGTCATATTTACAAACTACTTCTTGCCTCCTCAAACACTGCACCAAACAGGCCCATTGATAAAACTACGTTCACGTGGCTGGCGTAAGATCACCAAGACTTTCTCTGTGATTTGGTGAATCTACGATAGGCCGTTTATGGTTAGATATTACCTTGCATGTTAAATTTCCCATGATAAAAAAGGCCGTAGACAATGGGGGTGGCTGCTAAGGTCTGACTTCAAATGAAGACAAACGGTCAGGTAAAACAATAGTGAGTCAGAATTATGTGAAATTTTAAACTGCTTAAATCTAAATTTAAATTTAATACTTCTTCATTTCTTAATATAAGATTGATTTAACTAATATGATTAAATTAAAAAAGTTAGGTAAGTTAGTTAATTATAAAAAATGTGACATGTTTTTCCTAAAATATCATAATAATATTTCTTAATACCCCATCTTCCTCTTCTACTTGATTATGGTTGAAGGAGTATCCATATGAGTAATTTAGAGAAAATTGATAAATATGAGAAATGAGTCTCATATTTAAGACCAAAACCAACTTAACAATTGGGTCCTATATTAAGGATCGAAAGAGTAATACAGAAAATATATTTTTTTAAAAGGACAGAGTCTCTTGCAAATAAGGGAGACTATTCTCTCCTTCATAAGAGGTAATTTTTTGGAAGCAAAGAATCTTATAATAAATTGTTTATTTTCATTTTGTCCTTTTCCCTGATGACTTGTTAAGGTTTTTTCAAAAAGAAAACACGTAGTTAACCTTCTTCCCCCCCCCCTAAAAAGGCTCTTATTTTTTTTTTTTTTAAATATAGATAGCTCACGACTTTTATTTGTTGGAGGCTCTTATTCTTTGATTCTGTGTCGGCCTTATGGAAGCCCAAATCACGAAACCGGAAGGCTCATCTAGACTGGAGTGGGCCCATAATTGTGTGTGCGTGTGTTTCAGCTTGGACCCAAAGTATTAGTTCCATGCCATATGTGAACATTTTTTTAATCACAAAACGAGTTGAAATTTTATAAAACCACGTGTCAAAAATGACATCAAGACGTCTTGTTCATAAATTCAGACTTTATTACATGTTTAGTAATTATCTGATAATCAAACTAATAAATTACTTCATATCCACAAAAAGCATTACTGATGAAAATCATCGCCGATAAAAAGCATGGACGATGAAATTGAAAATCAAATTTCGATAACAACTCATCGGATTAGAGTCTCTGGAGGGTGGAAAAAGAGCGCCCAGGAATCGATTAACCGACTTTAAATTTTAAAGTACGCAGAAATATCAAAGTTGTAACATCAAGATAGAACTACACTCGCTGGTTCCAAGAAAAGCGATGGCATCAATGCATGAACAGCAGTTTCAGAGCCATTTGGATTGGAGGGGAATAGTGAATAACCCATTCATGTTTCTAGGCACGTCCTGGAAGAGATTTCCAGCCCCTTTTCAAATGGGCAAAAAATCAAACTCTTTCCCTCAACAAAAGAGGAAAAAAAGAAGGGATGAAAAGAATAACGATATGATGCAGTCCAAGTTATAGCCCACGAAAAGTACTACAAAATAAATACTAACAAGATAAACGAGAGAGACTAATTACTATATGATGCAGTCCAAGTTATATCATATGAGAGGGAAGACTCGATGCAACATAATGAGAGAGACTAATTACTAATGGCCTGATGAATAGTAATAGTGTCTTATATAATTCATTTTATCACACGAACAGGTCTCCGTTAATGCTAATGGTCAGTCCCAAAAGTCGGGGTTCTGATCTAGCAAGCACACTGCGTTAAACTGGTTTTATAGAGTTGACACAGCTTAATAAAACAAGTAGCAAATTAAGGATAATAAGGCACAAGAGCGGGCCAGTAGGGCAGTGAAACAGTGCTATAATCCTCTACAGCGAAAGAACAATTGGCTTCTGCAATATTCTGCGGGTGATGGCTCGACGTCGTTCCCCGTGGCTGCTTGTTAGAGCCGCGCAGTGCTGCCTCTGACGTGCTTTCCACTGTTTCTTCCCCAGAAACTTCTGTATAACCTGCAGAGACTTGTGTCTTTGAAGCTTGCTCTCTTAGTATTGCCTTCAACTTCACAACCTGCAGTTATATAGCAGCTATCTAGGAATTAGCCACTCTGCCCCACCGTCCACTAGAGCATACATATATATGTTGTAAGGGTTGGGGGAATATAATATCCTGTTCAAACCTCAGCATAGAAACGTCAAGAAAAGCAAAACAAAGGAAAGGAAGAACTTTTTGTTGAAACGAATGAAAATGAAAATATATAGAGTTCAAAAGACAGGCGTAATATTTCTGAAGAAAGCTATCTGTGGAGACATGCAGTGAGAGGTCCTTGTCATGAGGAAACTGCATGATGTGCATGAGCTGCATGGTTGGGGGTGGGGGGGGGGGGGGGAGGAGAAGAAAGATGTGAGATTAGTATGAAATACATATGGTAATAAACGTACCTCTTCTTGAAGCCTCTGTTTTTCCTCAGAGATAGCATCATATTCTTGTTTGAGAGCATCATACAAGTTCTCCAGCTGCTTAGCCTTCCACCTAGCACGCCTATTTTGGAACCATACAGCAATTTGGCGAGGTTGCAGTCCTAGCTCCCTTGAGAGTTTCATCTTCCTATCGGGGTCCAACTTTATCTCTTCCTGGAAGCTCCTCTCCAGCGACTCAAGCTGCTCGCTCGTCAGTCGCTTCTTCTTCTCCATCTGGTTCCCGTATTTTATTTTCTCCATATCCGGAACCAACCCTGGTGCCGCCGCTGCATGTTTCACTTCCATTCCTGAACACATAACGGAGGGTCATAATCACTGCTTTGCACAATTGCTTGTGGTTCAAGTTATTCAATTACAAAGATGGACTCGTAACACAGGCTATCACTAGGCTGGCTGAAGGTGAAGTCATTTTTACCTGAAGTTGCTTGGATCTAAACAAGGATTCAAAGGGAAATGCAAGTTGACAATTGAGGATAGAGGTGATGAAAGCTTGAAAAGAGTATAGCGAGTGTTTTTTTGCTGTTGTTTACCTGGATATGGGCTGCAGTTATAGTTGTAGAGGAAACTTAAGGAAGACTCAGCTCGAGGAACAAAGGGTCTCATGCTTCCATTCCATTCCATATCAGCTGCCTGCACTTTCCTGTCTCTTGTTTCAAATCCAACCCAAAGTCAAGTGTCTTATATGGGCCAAACCGGGTTTGAATAGATGGACCACAGAGACAGAGATGTGTGAGTGAGTATGCTGAGAGTAGAGAGGCGTGGCGAGAGAGGTCCGAGAGATGAAAGGTTCTATTCCTCCCTTTATGGGCGCAAGGAATGAGATAGAAGGGAAGGGGATGATACTTGTGAGCTTCTTAGCTCTGGCTACTTCACTTTTGGGGCGCAACAAAGTTGTGTGTTTAATGAGGAAGCCGTACTGTGAGGAAGAGTAGTCAGAACGAGGCGTGAGAAAGGGAAGGCATATGTCAGTTGGTACTAGAAGCAGCTATCACAGGGGACCATATATTTTGATCAACACCTTTGAATTCTCTCTTTCCCTTTCCCAACCGACATCTCTCTCTCTCTGATTCTATCTTTTTCTCCTTTTCCCCCTCAAGATGATGTCAACAGTATTTGATCCTAGGTCTCACTCACACTACATACTTATCTGTGTCAACATTTTTCTATCTACAAAAAATAGTATCTTGGATTCATGGTTTGTTATAGTGGGGATGGGGGTTTTTGTAAAACAGGCAAAATTAGAGCAAACAATGCTTGACCAACACAACGTAGAAGAGGTTTGGCTTCTAAAGTGGGTGACCAGTACACAAAGGCCTGACACAACTGCAACACCGGTTAAAAAAATAAGTAAAGATAAGGGGAAAGAAACAGAAGGTTGGGGCACATCCCTGTGGTTTCGACCCCCACCCCTCTCCCTTTCGCCTTTATTATAACGTGGCAGGGAAGCAGAGAAGAAAGCTGATACTTTCTGTGTCTCTAGCCATCTGTGCATGAAATCGGGATCTGGGTTTAGTTTTAATCTTGTTGAAAAATTGAAACGCAATTCAATTTCTAGTTGCGGGGCAGGCCAGGGTGGTTCAGGGCCGTCTAGAGCCAACTTACCAGAAACAAGGATCCACGATGGGACTGGGGGGGCCTTGACCTCCAAAATGTTGAAAGAGATGGATGAGTGGGGGTTATTATAGAATCGAAGTTTTACTTGTACATTAATTTTAAAGTTGTCTACTTAATTGCGAGACTCTGGCACGAGGATATGGCCAAAAATATAACAAGGTCAAATTTCAGATTCAAAGAGGTGCAGGCAATTCTCTGCACCTCTTTTGTAGTTTCTCTTGTTTTATATGCTTGGAGAAAGATAACACATTTATTGGTCCTTTAACACTCACATGTTCACCTTTCACGAGTCAATAGTTCCGAACGAAAACGATCAAAACCAACAAACATCAGTGCTTGTAATTAATCAGCTGGGTCTAAATGGGACCAAGGAGCTTCAAGTTTCTGATTAGAAAGATGTGACATGTAAGTTTGAAGTATGTAACTCGCAATATTCATAATTTATGGATAGTGCATTTTTCTATTGGCCATATATATATTATTGATTGTTGATGTTGATTTGCATTATAGCTATTCGCAAAGTAAAACTCAAGGGGGGGATATTTTCATTGATGCTTCTTCCATTTTCCATGCAAGTCTTTAGTCTCTCATTCCCTTGTGAATTCTTTGTACTTTAGATCCACCCACTCGAGTTTGAGTTTTGACCAAAAGGCCTATAATGTTCTGGAATGGAACATCATGAACTGTATCAGACTATCAGTGCAGTAGAAATTGAAGAATTGTTCTCCACCCAAGCGATGCCTAAACCACCTCTGAACAGACTAGCTGAGCATGCAAGTACTCTTCTTCTTCCTCTTCTTCTTGAAGCATTTGTTTGATACATCTGCTCCAAGAAGGATTTCTAGGGATAGGAATGTGAAGCATCATGCGAGTGACAAAAAGATATGCATGTCAAAGGTAGTAACGAAATAGAGAGGTTTATAAGTTGGCAACGAGGAACATTTAAGAGGATAAGATTTATAAAAAACAAAATGACAAATCAACGGCGAGACTGAGACTGATAATACCTGCAAAAAGTGAAACTTACGTCATGGATGGGAGTGAGAGAGGAAGGGGGAGGGGGGAGGATGGTCCAAAAGGGGGTGGTTGAAGGGTGAATATCGTAAACTTGAGGACGTCGAGTGAAATGTTTCACTAAAGAGTGGAACTTGTGAAATGCCTTTCAACTCTACCCTACAAAAATGAGTTAGCCTAAACTAGTTGTAGTGAAAACAGAGGACGAGAGGGTACCTCAAGAACAACTATTAGTGAATGTACGCAAACGGCGCCGAATAGGGACCATTGCCTCTCGTACATCCTACTTGGCATTATGTCATAGGGCCAATCCTCCTCACTGAGATTTGCAGATCCTTCCAAGCCATTTAATACATTAAACTGAAGGCAGGGTGAATCATTTACTTCTCTCAAACCACCCAACCACAACCCCAAACAAGAACCAAAATATCAGGTCTCAAAGCTTTGACTCGTTAATGTGAAGCAGTCCACAGATGGCAATGACTAGGAAAATATCACCTTCTTACCCACAACCTTTTACTTCTTCCTTCTTCCTCTTTCCCCTACACTGGTCTGACTCAAAACCAATGTGAGTAACAATTATGTTCCCTTTCTCTTGCACCACAAGCGATATGGTTCAAAATGATGCCTTGTTTCAGCACACTACACTCCTATCCTGACCTTTACATTTAATTCATGGCAGCTTATGCGTTTTTTACCTCTTTCACATGGGGGACAAGGCAAAAATAGTGACCCCAACTTGCATCATCTGACGCTTACAAACCAAAATTCAAATGGACGCGTGTCCCATCATGAATACCACCATTAACTACCAAAGCTTGGTTTTCAAGAGTTACACAACCCTCAACTTTTGGTTTGATTGTTGTCAAAACAAGACATGACGAAACACCTCTAAATTGCATTCATGTTGAATGACTTCTAAATATGTGAGTATGTTCTCTATAGGGTAAGTGTGTGACTTAAATTTATGGTTATGATCGTCACATCTAATACTGTGTTTAATTATTTATGTGCCCAAAAACTCACTATACTGATGCATAATTTGAGAGGTAAATTTCTGGTTGAGGATGGTACTGGATGCAAAGCTTATGTGACAGAGTGAGCTCAAGCGCAGCCAAGTTCTGATTTTCTTGCAGACCTAAGCTGGATTGCTTCTGTTGGCCAGTGTGTAGTTTTCCTTCCATATGCATCGTTCCTACTTTTCTCCTCCTGTCTCCAAAAAGATTAAAATACCCTTGAAAGTACTAATTTTAGCATGGCATCCATTTTTATCTACTTGTGGCCCCCCGGGAGGGGGGTATAATGACACTGTGGCGGGCACTTTTTTTGTTTTCCCCCCCCCCGGATTACCAGTTAATTTCTAGTTGGATTTGACTACGAAGGGTTTAGGAATCTTGGGGGACTGGTCCTACGACGTACAACGGGGCAGTTAAGACAGTGCAATCAATGGAAGTAAATTTCAATTTCTACCTTTCAATGGCATCGTTTCCAACCTCTTTACGTATTCTTGCAGAAGCAGCACACTATTTTCTTCCCTTGTTTTCCCGGAAAGTAGAAAGATGGTCACTCCCCCATTCAGCATATATTCTTCTGGCAGTAAGAGCTACTCCCATTGATGAAGTCGCATCTTCTCAGTCTTTTTTCCCTTTCACATTGAAGGCCATCCACTGTACTTTGTGATCTCATCAGTTTTATGTTTTGTTTTTAACCAACCATTATTGATTAGTTTGAAATTTTGCCATCGATAAAATGGCACAGCTTAGTGCCTACCATGTGTCTCGCCAGATTTATTTACTTAGTAACTAAAATAAAGAGAGATTTATAAGTTGTTTTCTTTAACAATTTAATTATGTCAGTACTTTTCATTGATTTTACCCATCTCCGCATTTTTTGTTGATTTTACCCGTCTTTGGCTTTTTTTACCGAAAGACATTCTGAATGAATCCAAGAGTGACATTTTAAAAAGACAAAAAATCAAATGATAAGAATGATCTATAAAATTGTAAAGTCAAATTCGATGAAAAAAAAAGATACTGCCCTTTAATAAAAAGTGATCCTTACAATTGCTTTTAATAATACTCGTCTAGTTTTAAATATAAGACTCAGTTTGTAATATAATTTATACTATAAAAAGTAAACATGTAATATTAACAACCTATAAAATAAAACAAGTAGAACTACCAATAAAAAATAGACTTTTTTGGTTTGGTCCCTTTTCTTAGGTTTAATTTGGCAAGCTCATCGGACAAAGGGGTAACGCATGAAAACAGCTGAACAGGGCCCCCAAAAGAATGAGAAATAAATCTCATCGAAAGATGACATCCTCAAACTTTCACTTTTCTTCTAAAGTAGACAGTGTAACTGTATGATTGATGATCCAGACACAGTATCAGGACATCTGACGTTGCCAAAGGAACCCCTATATGCGTGACTGCTTTCAAAATGCCTTCTCTCTTGCGATTCTTCCAATGACTATGAATAATAAACACCGAATCCACACAAAGCCCACCTTTGGAATGTGTACAATCCACCAGCTTCATGGAGAACCTAACTTCAGTGGCAGGTTCAGTTCAGCTGACAAGAAGTTCGCCCACCTTGTAATTCACCCAGCATCCCCGCTTATGATCGTCATATGCATCATCATACTCTGTTTCATCCGAACAGTTCTCACACGATGCTTGCCGACCATCTGAAGTTGACAACTCAAATTTCACTGGTTTTATATTCCAACCATGAGTGTGCTCGTAATTGCATACTCGCCTTCCAAGCCTTCAGGAAAATTTCCAAGGTGGAGCAACATCAGTGGGAAATGGAAACTTCACATCCCCATCCACTTCAAACCACCATATTTGCTGCAAATAAGCCACAGTGTGGAACAAGCAAATCATGGTAAATCCATACTCAGGAGCATTGAAATTTATTATAGAAGACATGGAAACAAGAAATCGAAAGAATGCAAACAACTTAAAAGGACAAAAGGAAAACAAAATAGCTTCAACAT